TCCTTCCTTCCTTCCTTCCTTCCTTCCTTCCTTCCCCTTTCTCTCTTTCTTGTTTTCATTCAATAAATATTTTTCCAATATTTTATTATGAAAATGATTCACATTCAATAAAGGTGGAAGAATCATATTTCAAAAAACTACATACCCATCACCTACATTCTACAATTAATATTTGGCCGCATTTGCCTTAACACAGTTCTGTCCATCTCTCCGCCCCTCTGTCTATCCACTCATTCATCTGTTGTATCTAGAACATTTCACAGGAAGCCAGCCGCAGGCGCCGGTGACTTCCCCATACACCTTTACCTTTCGGCATCCTTGCTCATTTGCAGGGCTGCACGGTATTTGTTGGTGTATGAACCATGGTCTGTTTACCTCTTGCTAAGGGACACAGGGTTCTTCTCCACTTCTCCACTGGTGTGCTAAGTGTTTGATACTCACTCACTGATTTTCAATGTATTCCTGCGAGGCAGGAATCACCCCCCAACCTCCCAACCGCCATTTCACAGGTGAGAGATCACAGCTCAGAGGCTGCGTTGCAAAGACACACAGCTAGGAAGGGATCAAAAGCAGGTTGTTTTTATTTTTATTTTTTAAACTCAAACTCATCTTGTTTGTCCCCGCTGTATTTCTGCTACTTCCAGTGCCTCACTGCCCTGCGAGCTTCGAGGTGGGATTTGGTCACAAGCAGGCAGATGAGGGGGGCAGGAATGGTCAGGGGAAAGGAATGGGACCCCCAAGGCCACTTCCCAGGCATTTAAGGCAAAGTTCTTTGGCCTGTTGGGGTCCAAGAGCCCCTCCTGGCTTGGCACAACCCTTCCCTGGGGCTCCTGACCACGGTGTTCTTTCTGCAGCCTTCCCAGAGGAGCTGCCTGCGGACCTGAAACACAGGAAGCTCGGTGAGCAGGGCTGGTGGGCCCAGGGAGATTGCAAGGCAGGAAGCCGGGACCTCCTCAGGTGTGCATATAAACTGGCATTTGAAAGCCGAGGATCAGAGAGGTGAAGCCACTTGTTCAAGATCACACAGCTAGTGAGAGGTGGAGCTGGGATTGAAACCAAGATCATGATTTCATAGTTTGTATAGTTCAAGGGCTGCTGGGAGACCCAGCTTCTCCTACAAAGCCTCTTCCCTGACACCCCCTCTTCTTTACGCTGAATCAGAGCTGAGACCCTGGCCCGTCCTCTAAACCCCAGCCTTGTCCCACTGCCTTCTCCTTTCAGAGTGCAGTCCCCTGTGGTCAGCTGGTCATCCAGTTCTCTCCCGCCCCCATGCCTCACTGAGCCTCTTCCTCCTAGCTCACCATCTCCCACCACATGCTTCCTCCCCCTCCTTCCTCCCCTCCCCTCTCCTCCCACCCAGTTCTTATTGCAAAGGAGGAAAGGCCAGCCGCTGAGTGGGGAACAGACTGGGAAAGGAAAGGCTCATAGCTGATGGAGAAAGACTAGCCCCTGACCTCAGAGAGTTCCAATCTGATGGGGGAGGTAGGGGCCCTGCCCATGAAGATCCCTGCCCATGGAGTAGTCCCTGTCTTCAGACATCTCCCAATCTAATTGGGGAAGCAAGTCTCTACCTTCTTAGGTCTCCCCATTAAACAGAGGAGAAAACCCCTGTCACAGTCTAATGTGGGTACAGCCCCTCCTTTGGGGAGTGCTTGGGCCTCCTTGGGGTCCCCCGAGAGGCTCTGTGACTGGCTGTAGAAGGTGGTAGGGACCTGAGACAAGAACCTATTTATAGGTCTGTCCTGACTTAGTGGCCTAATGGGGCCATAATTAGGTCTCCATCTCAGGAAGCTCTAAGGCCCAGCCACAAGGAGAGAGCTAAGGATAGGAGGCTGGCTGCTGGCACAGAATCAGCTTCACCAGGGGCGAGAAGAAGACAGGAGTTTCCTCCAGCTGCCAGGAGAGAGAGATCTACTCTGCTCCTGGAGCACTCCCCACCCAGGAAGGCCCCTCCAGGCACCCACCTAGATCTCACGCAGCCTCTAACATGGCCCCTTCCACACAGCCGAACCCTTAACTGTGCCCTCGGTGACTGGCACTTTCCTAGTGGGGCCAGTGAGCGACTCCTCAGCTCTGTCCTTCACATCACCACCTGCTCTGTTCAGCAAGGAGCCAGCATCTTCCCAGACCGGGCTGGAGGAAACCGTCCTGACACCTGGTATGTGAGGGGCTTGGAGAAGGTGGGCTTCCCCCCTCCTTATGCCTCGGGAGTGACTAAGGCAGGGGCCACCAGGGACAAGAATCCCAGCCCCAGCTAGTGTCACCCACTTCTTCCCAGCCAGTCCCAACCTCTGAGTCCCCATCAACTTAGTCTGTGTGGGAAAACATGCTCTGGAGGGCACCGTGTCCCTGGGAGGCATAGCAAGGAATCCCACCAGTTAGAGAATTCGCCCGCTGGCCAATGCCTTCATCACCTGTGAATGGAGCACCTCTCCATGCCAGCCACTCTGCTAGGTGCTAGGGACACTGCCATGGGCAAGACAGGCACAATGGCTGCTCTTTGGGAGATTGGAGCCCTTTAGAAAGGGAGTCAGGAGTTAATAAAATAATCACAAAACAGGGTTACAAACAGGTGCTACGGAGGGTCCCGCCTCACTGCCTTGTCTCCTGCAGCTCCCCCCTCCGGTTCCTTGTTGAGTTGCCTGAGCCTCCCCGCCGGACCCATCAGCATCATTCCCACCCTCCCCACTCTGCCCCAGGGGCTCTGGCAAGTCTCAGGAGCTGGGGCAGAGGTGCCCAGTATACTCATCTGCCAAGGTGAGTGAGCGAGACCTGCCCCCCACTCCTTGCTACCTGACTACTCCTGATTTTCTCCTTCCCCCACCCCAGGCATTAATACCCTCTTGTGACCCTCCCTCCTCAGAACACCTTTCTCTGTCCCCATTTCCCAAGAATCAAAGTAGAGGAGCAGAGCTGCCCCAGGTGGTCTGGGTGCGTGACCCACTGAGTAGCTGTGTGGCCTTCTAGGTCTCACTTTCCCCTCTAAGCCTTAATTTTCCCTTCTTTTCTCCCCACTATTAAACATGATTATATTTTTAAACTACAACATCAAGACATATCATTAAAAGGCCAAATAGTAAGAGATGCTAGTAAGGATTACTGAGTCTTTCCTTCATTCTTTTAGTATATATGAACAGTTTGGTGTGCATCCTTGCACAGCTTTCCTGAATTACCTTGTTTCAGTAAAATGATCCCTTCTGACCACCACTCTGGTGGGTTGTGAATTGCCCAGGGGAAGGCATGTTTGGGCTCTCAGGGATGGGAGAGAGAATGAGGCCAGGGGTACACTTGCACTCATTGAAGAGCATCCTTTGAAAGTCATATGCCAGTTTTTGTATAATGCACAGGTGCCCCAGAAGTAGGGGAACATTTTGGGCATCTAGGAAAATGAGCACTAATCATACAGTAGAAAAAGTGCCGCAGTAGCACTTGCCCTATGCTCCCTATGATTGTGTCCATTTCACAGATGGGAAAACCAAGCCTCCAGGAGCTAGATGTAACTCCAGAGCTCTTTCCTCAACTCCATTCCAAAATGCTGTCATTTGGAAGTTCTCTTCTTTCCCCAGACTTCTAAGCCCCACACCCTGATTTGAGGTTGGGTGACTCAAGTGGGTTCCTGGATGCACACCTGGCTGTTCTTATATTCCCTTCCCACCTAACATAGGCGAGATGCCCCAGGCCAGCCAAGCACCCCCTTCTAGTAGTCCAGCTATCCACAGCTTCCCGAAGTCCCCAGACCGGCCTGGCTCCACCAGCCCCTTCGCCCCATCTGCAGCTGACCTTCCCAGCATGCCAGAACCAGCCCTGACCTCCCGTGCAAACACAACAGGTAAGAACCTCGGGGCCTGTGAGAGGTACTGGAAGCAGGATTCAGGCTCTGGGGGAAGAATTGCTTCAGACTATCAGGTCCCCAAACAGCTGCCTACAGGGACAAGCAGGCCGTGTTTATGTAAAACAGGGCAGGGAGGGTCTCCAGGGGTGGAGGACCTGGGAAGGTGGACGAGGGGGACAGGTGGAAAATCACGTCCCAGCTAAACCAGGCCACCAGCCTGCACCAGCACTTGTCACTGGCAGGAAAGCCCAGTGTGGCCAGGTCTTCTGAATTGTCAACAGAATCTGGAAATCTTGATTTTTACATAGATAGTGTGTGTTTTTTAAAACATTGGTTAAAAAATTTAAAAGTAAAGCTGGCCAAAGAAAGATATCTTTGAGTAGGATACAACCTCAAGTCCCCACCTTGCAAACCCTCCTCAGCCCTTGTCAGCTCTACCCTCTGCATACTCAGAGGACTGAATGCTTCAGAGGGAGGGAAGACCCTAGGGTGTCCCCCCACCCTAACTCTGACACTGCCTTCTTCATTTCCAGAAGACGAGATGTCCCCCACCCAATGGCTGGCAGCTCGCGAGGTCTCCAGCAGGCTTCCAAAGTGGCCTGGTGAGTGGCAGCAGAGTCCCTCTGCCCTGGGCATTGGAGGCAGGAGCCCAAATCTGGCTTTGCTTCACTCATTCACCCAACACTCTTCAGCCCCTTATTTGTTGGCACACTTATTCATTCATTCATTCACTCACACATTCACTTACTCGCTTGATACCACCATCATATCAGCATTTATTCTGGCAGTCACTTACACTTAAGTAATATTTATTAAGGACCTACCCCTCAATAACCACATGCCAGGTGTTGACATCTTGTTTGCGAGGCTGAGAGAACCAGTGAGGGAAGAGCGGGTGATGGAGTGAGGGGATGGAAGAAGTTTATGTGAGTATGGGATAGAAGGTGAGAATGAAAGTGTGGAGAGAATGGCCCAAAACCCCCCACACAAATAAATAATAGAAGAGAATAGCCAAGTTACTAAGTGCTTACTCTGTTCCAGTGCTCTTGTAAGCACATCAGATATATTAAATCGTTAGTATCGCAAACAGCCCTCATAGCATCCCCATTTTACAGATGAGGGAACTGAGGCATAGTGAGTATAGATGCTCAAGATTACACTAATAAGTGGTGGAGCTAAGATTCGAACCAGACACATGGATTCCACAATCTTAACTCTAACCCCCCACCAATGTCCTCTCTATTGTGAGGGAGCAGAGGAGGCAAGTTAGGGAATAAGTGAAGGAGTTGACAGGTAAATGAGTGAGAAGATGAAGGAATGAACAGGTGTGGGAAGGACTGAGTTCATGAGTGAGCATCTGGGTAACTGGACCAGGCAGCTAATAAAGCAGGTGGTCTGTGAAAATTATGTGGTGAACGAATGAAGAAGCTAGTGACAGCGGCCGGGCTGGCGTCTTGGCTGCCTTCGTGGTGGCCAGTCCTGCCACTTGCATCCTCCCCCCATCCCACACATCCTTTCGCTTTGCAGAGAGTGTGGAGCAGTTTTGTCGCTCGCTACGGGACAAGTATCAGGCTGAGCCCACAGGCCCGGAAGGCATCCTGGTGGAGGTGGACCTGATGAGGGCACGGCTGGAACGTAGCAGCAGCAAGAGCCAGGAGAGGGAACTGGTCACCCTGGACTGGGCAGAGCAGCAGCCAGCCCGAGGGGGTCTGGCTGAGGTGCTGCTTGCTACTAGTGACCGCCGGCGGCCACGTGAGACACAGGTGATTGCTGTGCTGGGCAAGGCAGGACAGGGGAAGAGCCACTGGGCCCGGGCAGTGAGCCGGACCTGGGCCCAGGGCCAGCTGCCACAGTACGACTTTGTCTTCTACTTGCCCTGCCACTGTTTGGACCGTGCAGGGAACACCTACCACCTGCAGGATTTACTCTTCTCCCTGGGCCCCCAGCCACGGCTGGTGGACAATGAGGTCTTTGGTCACATTCTGAAGAGGCCTGACCGTGTTCTGCTCATCCTGGATGCCTTTGAGGAGCTTGAAGCCCAAGACGGCCTCCTGCACAGTACGTGCGGACCCATATCCATGAAACCCCATTCCCTTCGGGGGCTGCTGGCCGGCCTCCTCCAGCGCAAGCTGCTGCGAGGCTGCACCCTGCTGGTCATGGCCCGGTCCCGGGGCCGCTTCGCTCAGAGCCTGAGCAAGGCTGATGCCCTGTTCCAGATGGCCGGCTTCTCAGCCGAGCAGGCTGAGACATATGTGATGCGCTACTTTGAGCATTTGGGGGCCACTCACCACCAGGAGAGAGCCCTGGCACTCCTCCGGGGACAGCCGCTTCTCCTCAGTCATAGCCACAGTCCCACTGTGTGCAGGGCCGTGTGCCAGCTCTCGGAGGCCCTCCTGGAGCTGGGAGAGGATGCCGAGCTGCCTTCCACACTCACGGGACTCTACGTTGGCCTACTAGGCCCAGCAGTCTGTGACAGTCCCCCAGGGGCCCTGGAGGCGCTGGCCAGGCTGGCCTGGGAGCTGGGCCGCAGACACCACAGCACCCTGCGGGAGGACCAGTTCCCCTCTGCGGAGGTGAGGGCCTGGGCTGTGGGCAAAGGCTTGGTGCAGCCTTCCCATGGGGCCTCGGAGACTGAGCTGGCTTTTCCCAGCTTCCTCCTGCAATGCTTCCTGGGGGCCGTGTGGCTGGCTCTGAGCAGTGAGATCAAGGACAAGGAGCTGTCGCAGTATTTGGCATTGACGCCAAGGAAGAAGAGGCCCTATGACAACTGGCTGGATGGCGTGCCGCGCTTTCTGGCCGGGCTGGTCTTCCAGCCTCGCGCCTGCTGCCTGGGAGCCCTGGCAGGGCCGGCGGTGGCCACTGTGGCGGACAGGAAGCGGAAGGCGCTCACCAAGTACCTGAAGCGGCTGCAGCCAGCATTGCTGCAGGCAGGGCGGCTGCTGGAGCTGCTGCACTGCGCCCATGAGGCGCTGGACGCTGGCCTTTGGCGGCATGTGGTACAGGGGCTCCCCGCCCACCTCTCCTTCCTGGGTACCCGGCTCACACCTCCAGACACCCATGTACTGAGCAGCACCTTGGAGACAGCAGGCCGTGACTTTTCCCTGGACCTCCGCGGCACTGGCATTGACCCCTCTGGACTCAAGAGGCTCGTGGGACTCAGCTGTGTCACGCATTTCAGGTGGGGTCAGGGGATAGGGAAGAGGTTTCTTTGCCTTGAGCACCTGCTGTGGTCTTGATACCATGCTGAGATCACTCTGCGGGGGGTCTCATGTAGTCCACACAGCAGCCAGGTGGGGGCCAAAGCGATTCCCTCATGTTTTAAGATGTGGGAAAAAGCTGAAGTTCAGAGAGGGGCAGCAGCTTGCCCAAGGTCATGCAACAAGTGAGGGGCAGCATCACTCTTTCAACCAATATTTGAAGGCCCGCCATATGCCAGACACGAGCCGCCATCTGCCATGGTTGGGTTAAAGCCACAGCTTCCCTCAGCCTCCTTACTGCGAGCCCTCCCTCCTCTCCCTCTTCCACCTCACTGTATTTCACTATCAGAGTGATCTCCCCAGAGCTTGAATCTGGTCATATTTACAACCCTTTAGAAGTATCCCACTACCCTGATTCCTAAATTTGGCTCATTTAAATCCTTCTGTGATCTGTTTGATCACTTCAGCCTAATCTCCAGAGAATCTCTCTCACCTTCTCCATAAACATACTTTACCCAAGCTGTAGGGTCCTACATCATTGTAGTTGGTTCAATCAAGAATTTAGCACTGAGCTTCCTAGTAGCCAAAGCAAAAAAAAACAAAACAAAAACAAAAAACTACACAAAACCACTCAGAAAACTGAGAAAAAGGAATCAGTAAGGCCTGGAGTTGTCATTGAAGGCTTTCTGGAGGCGGTAGGGTAGAGGTTAAGCTGAGGAAGGAAGTATCTGAATAGGTAGGGGTTCATGAAGCTGCCCCTCCCTTATGGTCTAGCCCAGTCACTGTGCCTGGGTCTGAGGCCCTCCCTCCACAGGGCCGCCTTGAGTGACACTGTGGGGCTGTGGGAGTCCCTACAACAGCATGGGGAGGCCAAGCTACTCCAGGTCGTGGAAGAGAAGTTCACTATTGAGCCTTTCAAAGCCGAGTCCATGAAGGATGTGGAAGACCTGGGCAACCTTGTGCAGATCCAGAGGTGAGGGGAAGGGGATGGAAGGTGGTCCAGGCCATGCAAGTTGAGGGCATATAGGACCTAAAATCAAGTTTGCCATTAGCGCTTTCAATGCCTCCTCTCCTTTGGGATGTCCATGCCCTCGCCTTGGGCAATTGCCACCCAGAATCTCTCAATGCAGTTACCACCCAGGCAGAGCCCCAGGACTTATCACTTTTAAAACTTGCCATGATGTACCTAATTATTTCTCAGCTAAGAGTTAATGAGCTGCCTTCTTCACCTGGTAACAGAAGTGACACCTATGGCTGCCTTTCAAGGCAGCCAGGACCAGTAGTGTCCCCGTTTTATAGATAGCAGAGCTCTAAAGTCCAGAGAGCAGAGGAAACTTGACCATCGAGCAACTGTCTTTCACTCATGCCATCACCATGCATTGTTTGAGCATGTACTCTGTGCTATCTGGGGACAGTGCCCACTCTGAGGCTCTTCCATGACACATACAGTAATGCCTTAATAACGTCCTGTCCCAAGGTTTTTCTTTTTAATGGTGGGCAGGCACCCTGAGACACATAGGTAGGGGCTCAACAACAGACAAAGAGCCTGCTCCCGACTAACATTGCCCCTTCTCTCCAGGAAAAGAAGTTCCTCAGATGACACAGCAGGGGAACTCCCCGCCATCCGGGACCTAAAGAAGCTGGAGTTTGCGTAAGCGAAGGGGTGGATTCTCTCGGGTCCCCATGAGGTTTCTTCTCCAGCATCAGCTGGGTTTGCCACCAGTATGGAGATGGGTCCCCAGAATTATTCTTACCCTCTCACTCCACCCCACTGGAAACTAGCTTCTAGCAGCTGGGGCATGGCCCGTCTGGGCTAGTCAAGATAACTAGCCCATTTACTGGTGAACATGCTTATTCGAATTCATTCATTCCACAGACCTACTCAGATAAACAAGGCCACTGTCCTCGATGAGCTTGCAGCCTATGTAATTAGACAGTTGCCACCTGCTTTGACATGTGGCAGGAAACTACAGGGTTGTGAGAGTATAGACGTGGGGGAGATCAGGGGACTTCCTGGAGGAGGCAACTAAAGCAATAAAACTTGATAAAGGAGTAGGAATGAGCAGGTGGGGAGGCCATACAGGGTGGAGGTATTGTTATTATCTCCCCATTGTACAGATGCATACACTGAGGCCCAGAGAATATAAAGTGTTTGTCCAGAGTCACAAAAGTCAGGGCACCCTGGCTCTTGCCCCAACAAAGGAAAAAGCTAAATTTGTGTTTGGTCCTTGTAAGGGAATCTAAAACCATCTAATGATTAGGAAGGAATTATTAAACACCTACAGTGTACTCAGTGCATCTTATATATAATCTCGTTAATTGCAAGAGCTACTCTGGGAGATAGTCATTATCTTGCCTATTTACAGATGAGGAAACTGAGACCCAGCGAGGATAAGTAACTTGCCCAAGGTTCCCAGCCTGTCACCCACAAGCTGTCTACTCCGGGTCACTGCTCCTCTGTGCCCCAGAAAAAGAAGCGTTTCTTGTTTCAGAGACAAGTTGCCAAATTTGTGCAGAGATAAAAATGTTGCTAAAAAGAGGAAATGAATAAAAACAATAACCAAGGGCCCCTCTAGCTTTGAATTATTTTCAGCTTAAAAAGCCCCTAGTTCAAGATCGGAACTGTGCTCTGGAGAGCAACAACCATGGGGTGGAACAGCCCAGAACCAGGAAACAGGCCACCTGGAGGCCAGAAGCCCCAAGAAAGTTCTAAGGAAGGAAGGAAAAGACTATTTTGGGTGTATTTTGGCTGGCAGCCACTGTTGCAGGCACACTGTAGGCCTCATCTACCTATACAGTGAGGCTGCTCAGCCACTGAAAATCCTGCAGGGGTTCTGATTCAGCCCTCACTGACCTCTTCACCCTGACCTCCTACATTCTCTCCCTTGCTCACTCTGCTCCAGGCACAGGGGCCTCCTTTCTGGTTTTCACTCTAACTAAGCATGCCCCAGCCTCTGGGCCTTTGCATGGGTTGTGCCATCTGCCCAGGACGCTCTTCCCCAGATATCTGCATGACTTGCACCCTCACTTCCTTCTAGTTCTCACGGAGTGGGGCCTTTTCTGACCCCCATTTTTAAAAGTAAAAGTCCACCCCACTAGCCACTGTACTTTTCTCCTTGCCACGTATTATCTCCCACACCAGATAGTTTACCAATTTCTTCGATTATCTGTCTTGCCCACTGGAATGTCAGCTCCAGAAGGGCAAGCATTTTTTGCCTTTTTTGTTCATGGCTGTCTCCATGACGGGCTCTATGGGCCTGGCACACAGGACACAATCAATATTTGATGAATGAATTCTTTAATCCTTGTAAAAACCTCATAAGATTAGGGCTAAATTTTAGAAGACTGAGGTTCAGAGGTGAAAGGATTTGCCCAAAAGGCCCCAGGGGAGGGAAGTGGCAGATTCCATATTCAAATCAGATTTCAAACTCCCATCTCCTGACCTTTCGCTGAGGCTAGTAGTTCGCAAACTTTGGGGTTTCAAAGACACACTATTTCAGAGTGAATTTCGGTGACTATGTGCAGTTACCACCTTTTAATTTTTATCAAGTATATTCATTCAAAGAAGCAAAATAACCACTGTTGGCATCATCATTTGATCAAAGAATGAATATTTTAGAGTCAAAAAAATCCAAAAAATATAATTTCAAAATAAAGGACTGTTCTATCTTTACATTTAGTATATTTAACCATATTTTAAAAAGAAAACAAAACTGCCCTCCATTGTCTTTATTTTTCTCATTCCCTCAAAGTCTAGTCTAAATGACAATCCAGTCTGTGTGACCTTGTGTGAGTTAGTTAACCTCTCTGTGCCTCCATTTCCTCATCTGTAAAATGGGAATAAGAAGTGCCCTTAGCTCAGAGTCATTGTGGGATTAAATGAGATCTAGCCTGAGTGAAGGACATACTTTGTTCCTGGCACATAAGTGCTCAAGAAACAGTTTTTTGTTATTAAAATGCAGTGGCAAACAAGTAAACCATCTTTCTAGGGACTGGTAGTGGTCTTCAGGTGAGCATTTGGGGACCACTTTCCCAGGCTAGGCTGGAGAAGGGTGTGTGTAGATGTTGGCAGAAGTAGAACCCCACTCAGAGACGAAAGCTGGGGAGCCCCTAGCTGGCCACTTGAGGGGGTTTTATGAAATCTTCCCAGAGCAGATTTGGGGTCCCATCTGGTGGGGCTTGAGGGAGGGAAGGTAGGGAAGAGGAGGGGCCTCAGAGGGGCCTGCCTTCTGTGTCCTGTCTATACCCCACCTTGGGGCTGAATTGAGGGGCCATGACTGTTTCAGAGTCTTACCTCTGCCCCTTGCTTCCTAGGCTGGGCCCTGTCTTGGGCCCCCAGGCTTTCCCCAAACTGGTGAGGATCCTCGAGGCCTTTTCCTCCCTTCAGCATCTGGAGTGAGTATAGACCCCAGAGCTCTCGCCATGACCTCAGGCTTGGCATCCCCAAACCTTTTGTGTGTGTGTGTGTGTGTGTGTGTGTGTGTGTGTGTGTGTGTGTGTGTGTGTCTGTCTGTCTGTCTGTCTTTGCTGCTTTCTTTATGGGGCTGGTGTGAGTGACCAGTTGACCCCACTGCGGGGAAGCTACAGCAGATGGGAACCCCCAATAATTGTTTTTAAAAAGGCAAATCCTTTTGTGACCTTTGAAACTCTTCCCCTTATGTGTTGTTCTCAGTAGCCCAGAGAGAAACAGGGTCAGAGAGCATGATCCTAGGGTACAGTTGAGGTCCCTAGAGGTTGCCAGGGAGTTGCCCAAGCTCGTGGGATCTCCCAGGAAGCAAAATAGGTATTCAGGTCCTTTGAGAGCTAGTACCTTGTCCCCTGGCTGGCCAGTTGGTGCCTCCAGATGATGAAGACTTGCTCTCGCAAGAAATCAAGAACATGATTACTTAGAGGTGTTTTTTTACTGAAGATCATTGCCCCGATTATATAGAAGTTTCTTAAAATACTTGTGAATGTCTTTTTTTTTTTTTTTTTAATACTGGAAGAAAAAATATTCTGTTGTGTTTCATATAGTGTTTAGGATGCCCTTCATGGAGCTGATTAAAAAGATGAAACCTAAAAACAGCAACAACAAAAACTTGTTCTCAAAAGCTCTGGAACAGACATGTGCTATAGCGTGTCCAGGGTTGGGGGAGTAGGGGCATGGGAGGAGGCCTCTGATGGGTCTGAGGGAGGGGAAAGGTCAGGTGACTTCCAGGGTGCTGGCTGATGGGGGCCCCATCTGATTTCACCTGCAGCCTGGACTCACTGAGTGAGAACAAGATCGGAGATGAGGGTGTTGCGCAGCTCTCAGCCACCTTCCCTCGGCTGAAGGCCCTGGAGACGCTGAAGTGAGTGGCCTGGGCCTGCCCTTCCTGCTACATTTGTCCCCCCAAGGTCTGAGGCTTTTTTATCCTTTCATTCACTTATCCATTCAATCACTCATCCACATAATCATTCATTCATTCACTCATTCATTCATTCATTCATCCTTTCACTCATTCATTTCTTTATTTAATCATTCATGCAACTGATCATTTATTAATCTAATCAACAAATATTTAAGAAGCACCTAATATGCTCCATTCTATGCTCTAGAGATCCAGCTTTAAACAAAAAAAAAAGTCCCTGACCTCAAGAGTCTTCTATTGAGATGACACAATGCACAAGCAAACAAATAAATCCATAGTTATAAAGGATATAATGATAAAAGTAAACACCGTTTAGTGACAGAAAATTACACTGGAGGTGAAATGGGAGAGATAGATTAGGATTTATTGGTAAAACATAATTAAAATAGCACATGTTTAAAAAACTATTTTGGGCTTTGGGAAGTAGGAGATGGATATGATGCGAGAAGATCAATATGATTTTTTTTTTCTTTTTACTGAACCTAGATGGTATCATCAAAATTTATCCACACCCCACTTCCTAACCATGATCAGAATGGCCACAGGATTCACCAGAATTCACTTAGGCATTTCCTTGATTGTAAGACACTGAGACTCCTCAAGTAATTCATAGTGTTCTAGGCAACACTGTGAGTGAGCCAGATTTCCTCTGTTAGTCCTTCCTTCTTCGCCTACCTTTCATCCCTCCCTCCCTTCCATTTCTCCCTTCCCGACTCTTTGCTTCCTTTCTCTTCCCCTACTTAAATTTTTATTGAGCACCTACTATGTGCTTGGCACCTGCTCTAGGCACAGGAATATAGTAATGAACAAAAAACAGAACTGGTCCCTTGCCTTGTGGAACCCACAGCCACTAGACAAACAACATAAACACTGAAAAGTTGTTCAAAGGGGATGATATAAAACCATAAAACAGGTGTGGCTGGGAAAGTGCTCTCTCTCTCCCTCTCTCTCTCTCATGTGGGTCCTCACCCCATTCATCCCACTCAGCCACAGGACCTAACAGTATCCTTTTATTTAATAAAAGTTAGCACCAGCCTACCCACAGCGCCATTCACAGTGGTTACCCACAGCTCTCCTTGAGGTCCATGGTCCTGTGCTAGCTGCTCTGGGCCACCCTGTGAGAAGCAAGATTTCTCAGCTCTGCTCCAGGGAAGGGGGTTAGGGGAAAGGGGTGTACAAGTTTGGGCCTCTCACTGTGTCCCTGCAGCTTGTCCCAGAACAGCATCACTGACGTGGGCGCCTGCAAGCTCGCCAAGGCCCTGCCCTCATTGGCTAGATCCCTCCTCAGGTTGAGGTAAGTGGGGCCCTGTTGAGCTGGCTGGAGGGCTGGGGGAGGGCAGAGAGCTCCCTTGGTGCCAGCTGAAAGGTCCCACACTGGGATCCTGGAGGCAGCCACTACAGGCTGTTCTGCTGTGTCAGTGTTGCACAACTAGATGAAGGGCATTGACCTAAAATCCAGTGTGATCACAATGCCCTGCCCTAGAGTTGGGCAATACCTGTTTCTTCATCTGGAAAATGGGTACCATCCCAATAGCCTATGGAAGCCCATGGTGCAGTGTTGGGCATAATAAATATTGGTCCTATTCCCTCAGGGGACGGCAAGACAGAGCTTTTTCTAGAGTCCAGGGGTGGTGATTTCTAAAAGGATGAAAATCCTCCCGCAGCCTTGGCTGGTTCTTATCACTCACACTCCAGTCAGTGCTTACACTGTCACCTTCTGGTGAGCCTTGGCATAGCACCTCTTGCTTTTGATTACTTCCAGCCTGGCCCCTGGTGATCCAGCGGCTAATGAGGGAACTGAGAGCTTGGACCAGAGCCCCAGCCATTCAGCTCAGCATTGTCAGCTCTCCTCTCTCACCAGGCTGGGAGGAACTTCCCTCTCCTTTTACAGCCCTCATCACCTGCCAAGGACAGCCAGAGTCAAATTCCCAGGGCAGGTGGCATCTGGTTCATAGAGTTATTGGTGTATCCATTCTTTATCCTGCCATTCAGGGCCTCTGGGTGCAGCTGTATAGGTTGGTTGTATACTGTGCAACTCCTAATCTATGTGATTGGCACCCCCTAGAGTGTGCAGGGCAACGAATATTCTCTAACATCAACATGGGCCAGCCTGTGCTAGGAGCTAGACTTACAGCTACAAACGAAACAGATATGGTTCTTGCTTTCAAGTTTTTTATGTAATAAGCAAGTAAGCATATGTGTAAGTAAAATATTTTAAAATAGTGATTTGTGCTGGGAAGGAAACTAACAAGGGCCCACAATTACAATAGTGAATGTTGAATTCACCAGAGAGGTCAGGAGACCTTGAGGGGGTGACTGTTCCCCCTCCAGGGACAGCTCTAGGGGAAAAGCATTCCAAGAAGAGGGAATGGCAGATCCAAAGGCACTATAGGAAAGGCTCTGAGAGCCAGAAGGTCCACTGCGGCTGACATAATGCATGAGGGACAGAGGGTGGGAGAAGTAAGTAGAAGCCAGATTATGCAGGGAGGTGGGGGGGGGTTTCTACTGTGAATGGAGAGGTGGGGCCTATGGAAGTGACACCTGATCCAACCGATGCTTAAAGAAACCTCATATTTCATGGAATCTAAGATGCCATTTGTTGTAAGACATCTTTCAGAGGTCAAAATACTGTAGATTATAATGACACTCCACTGATTATTAGATCCTGATCTCAATGATATTCAAATATCTGAACATGTGCTTCTTGGCATCAAGGAAATACAGGAAGGGTCCTCTGCCTGTTCTAGGAGGAAGGGCCTCCTGAGTTCTAAGACCTACCCCAGGAAGAGATTGCAAAACCCCTGCCTGGTGCCTGCCCTGGTAGCAGCCAAATCATGACATCAGGGGATGCTGGAGTTTAGCCTGAATCCACTTGGCTACAGTATAGACCTGCTGCTTTTACATGCAGCCCTGCAGTGTAGCTCTGAGGCTGTCATGGCAAAGCCATGGCCTTGAAATTAGAACCACAGCAGTACCTGGATGTTAAAAGGATACTTAGTAATGAATGTACAATTGAAGTCAGCATCAGTGACACCCGTCCTGCTATTTTCAACACTGCAAACAGCGGCTGTGAATACACCGCAGGAAGCTGAGCCGGCCCAGTAACTGGGCTTTTCTCTCCCCTTTACCCTCAGCGCTGGTCATACCTTCCATGGCAACTCATTTAACCCTCACAACTCATGCTGGGAGGTAGAAATGACCATAGCTAACATTTAGTTCATTCCACATGCTGGGCCTGTTCTATGTGATTTACCAGCATTAACTCATTTACTCCTTCTCACAATGACTCTATCATGCCCGTTTTGTGGAGGAACAAACTGAGTCACAGAGGAGTTAAGTAATTTGCCAAAGGTCACATAGGTAGCAAATGGCAGAGTGGGGATTTGAACTGATGGAGTCTCAGCCTGGAAGCTACCTCCTCTCAGTCCTGCTGCTTCCCTGGACTCACTGTGTGACCATGGAGAAGTGGCCTCAACTCTCTGGGCCTCAGTTTTCCTCTTTAAACTGGGGCAGTAAGCCCAGTGGGTGTGGATCCCCTTGTGCCCTGAGCCCCTTCACCCCAGCCCCTGCCCTGACTTCTGTTTCTGGCAGCTTGTACAATAACTTCATCTGTGATGTGGGAGCCGAGAGCCTGGCACACGTGCTTCCAGACATGGTATCCCTGCAGGTGCTGGAGTGAGTATGGGAACCTGGGCAGTAGGTGGAGCTGCCCGGGGCATCATGGGAAGGGCTGGGCTGAGGTCTGGTTGTCAAGGGTGTGGTAGTGGCCTTGGTCTGGGGCTGGATGGTGCTGAGGGCCAGGCCTCAGGATGGTTTCTTTCCCCAGTGTCCAGTACAACAAGTTCACAGCCGCTGGGGCCCAGCAGCTTGCCGCCAGCCTGAGAAAGTGCCCTCATGTGGAGACACTGGCGTAAGTCTCAGTAGCCTGGTGGGTGGTTCCGTGAGCCCTGAGCTCAATCCTGCTCTGCCCCTCACCTATGTGCAACCTTGGGGAAGCAGGGCGCTTCACCCCTCTGGGCTCAGTTTCTTGATCTGTTAAGTGGCAGTGGTAATAATATTTTCCCCCAAGAAGTTTTGTGAGGTTTAAATTAGTCAAGACTTATAAAGCAATTCGAACAGTGTCTGGTACATGAAAATGCTCAATATGTTGGGCTGAACAATATGAAATTGCTTATATAAACCATTTTGACCTATAAAATTGGCAACTTCATATGGCTCAGACTTCATATTACATCACCATGATGTCTAGTGTCCAATATTGGTACTTTATAAACTTTCAAAGGACTTTCATTTACATAATAATACTCATATTTTCTAAGAGGAATAGGGTGGATCTTATAGCCCCATTTTACAGATGAGAATAAGGCTCAGAGAATTTCACCAATGTTTTTGAGCTATACAGCAAGTCAGCAGCAGAACCAGGTCTAAAGAAAGGGGTCTTAGGGTTCCAAGGCCTCTGCTGTCCCATGCCTCACACTGGTCTGGTCCTGCCAGTTGGGAAGTCCCCAAGGTCCCAGGCTAAGTGGGAGGAGAGATTTGGGGGGCAGCTTGTGTTGGGGGCTCTAGGTCACACTCGCTCCTCTAACCTGGCCTTTGCGTCCCATGCCCCCATCACAGGATGTGGACACCCACCATCCCTTTTGGTGTCCAGGAACACCTGCAGCAGCTGGACTCCCGGGTCAGCCTGAGATGACCCCAACTGTGCCTGGGGCAAGGTAACTGGTGTGGGCTTGGGAGAGGAGAACCACAAGGGCCCCTGGGGTCAGCATCCTGGGAAGGTGGAATCCATAAAAAGTGGCAGGGCAGCAGGTGGGGTCTGGGTGACCACCCCTGAACTATGCACCATCTGGGGCCTCCTTGTCTCTGCACTGGGCTCAGTGGAGGTGTCCTAAAGGCTCTATGGCTTGGGCCCTGAGGACTCTCCCTGTGGTCAGGCTTAGAGACCATGGCAAGGGCAGGGTGGGTGGGCCATTCACATCCCACAGCCCTTAGCATTGGGAAGATGTTCCTTCAGGGACTTCCAAACCACACATGCTGCTGTTTCAGCCTGTTGGCTGCCAATGTCTCGGATTGTCCTGATAGGAACTTGCTCTGTGAATTTCCTGTCTCCTACTGTGCAGGTGACTGTCCTCCCACCTCCTTGCTCCTCCGTGAGGTCCCCTCCAATCCCTCTGTCTTACCCTCCATTCCCACCATCCCTTCTATCCCCACTCTCGACAACACTCTCTCCATGTGTCCAGCAACCCCCTCCTAAAGCTTCCTGACCTACCCCTTTCTCTGGACCTCCCACAGCACCCACTCTGAGGACACTGACCTCGCTGGACCTTGAACTGGTTATCTGTGGGCACAGCTCTTCTCAGGCCATATCATATGAGCCTCAGTGTCCTGGCTCCCAGCCCTGCCGGCTACGGAAAGGACCCACAGCCTGCTATGTGAACAGACTCAGGCCTGGCTCCAGGCTCCATCAGGGCCCAGGCTGATGCCAGCCCTGCTCAGCCACTGCAGCCCTGGCAGACAGGTGGGCACCTGGTGGCAGCCGGGGTCCACTCAGGAGCCCTGGCAGATTTTCTACAGGACACTCCAGAAGTCGTGGCCAGGCCAGAGTGAGGAACTGCGGCAGCCACATCTCTGCCTCCCAAGCCCCCTCCAACCCGGGGAGAAAGCACTTCTCCAAGCTGCCGTCCTAACAGGGCACACTTGGCCCTATAAGGATACCAGACAGCAACCTGACCCGCTGATTCCTGAACCACGACAGGCTGGGACTCTGAGGCAGCTGCTTCTATCTATGGGACTCACTGTTTTTACTAAACTTCTTTGCTGAGGCCAGAGCCAGCCTGGCCAGACACACTGGACCTTAGCTGAAAAACAACCGACAGTACACTAATGGAGGAGGGCAGGGGACGGACGGGAGTCACATCTGCCTTTTTGCCTTCGTTTCCTCTGTCTCTTCACTACATTGTAAATAACTCATTCAATCCCACAGGCAGATCTACTGTTTGAGTTTATAGCATGGTTACCATGTTGGGAAGCCCACCAATCTGGTGATCTAATGCATCATAAACCACCCTAAATGTAGTGGCTTAAAACCACACATGTCTTTATTTTGCTCACACGCCTGCCTTTTGGGCAGGGCTCATCTCTGTCCCTCAGTGTCGGCTGGGCTCATCTGAAGGCTTGTTCACTCAATGCTGGCTGGTGGCTGGGGACCTTGGTTCCTCTAAGGAACTGTCAGCGGGGAACCTCTCCATGCGGGCTAGTTTGGGCTTCCTCATAGCATGGTGGCTGGGCTGTAGGGTGGGCACCCAAAAAAGAAGAGGGTGGGGGGAGAGAGGGAGAGAGAACAGAGAGAAGTTGTATCCTTTTTATAACCCAGCTTCAGAAGTCACACAGCATTACTTTTGTCATATTACACACACACACACACACACACACACACACACACAGAAGAGTCCACCTTGGCCCAAGTCCTGTCTTTTCAGAAAGGATTTTCTTTATGGCGTCCTAAGATTCAGTGGGAAATTCATTATCGGGAGCAGCGTGGTCAAAGCACCATGAGCCTTGCAGAAAAGGGTGCTTTCCTCTGCCTCTGACCCCCCTGTGTCCTGGGATCCATTCCTAGCCCAGCTGGGATTCTGCCTCGGCCAAGGCAAGCCTGGGAGGGACTTGGCAGATTTGCTCGCTACCCAGAGAGCTGCCAGTTTGACCATTGTTGTTTTTCACTGGGGCATGGCCTGCTTGGTCAGAAGCCCTGATTTGGGATGACTTGGCTTTGGCAGCAGTGGGAGCTGCCAAAGCCAAGTGCATCAGCTCTATTGGACCAGCCCTGATGCCCAGGCCCAAACTCATCTCCTCTTCGCAGCAAGTGGGAGTCAGAGGTTGGGGGGGATGGTCCAAGGGGTTAAGACCCAGCTGCTTGGTTGGCAATCCTTGCAGAGACAGGTGCCTTCTGCCTTGGAGTGACTGCCAAGGGCATCAGGTGTTGTGACCCAGGACTGGGCTTTAAATAGTTCAGGTACTACCTCTCAGGGTTTCCCTGCATTTATGGACTTTGTAGAGTCCACAAGACTCCCATTTGTACAGACACAGGGGTGGGCACCAAGTCAATATCCTCCCGTCTGAGGCATCTACTACACCCTTGGCCAGATAGGGAGGGCACTGCTGTACCCACTGCTTTTGGTCTGTTCAGAGATGACAAAATGTGGTCAGAGGCTATAATTATTCATAGTAATGATTTTAAATAACAGCTACCATTTATTAAATGAGTTGATACATGTAGAGCACTTACCACAGTACAAGGGACATAATAAATGCTCAATAAGTATTAGCAATGATTATGACTTTGTGTCTGGCACCGTGCTAAGCCCTTCCTACTCAGGGGGAACCATAGCCTAGGGTGAGCAGCAGACTCTAGCAGTAGATCACTTGGATTCAATGCCCAGCTCACCACCTATGCAAATTACTTCTGTGCCTCAGTCTCCCCGTATGTAAAATGGGCACACTCACAGTACCGTCTTCATTATGGGGTTATAGGAGAGGCAGTGAGCTAGCACACTGAGAACAAGAGCCTGGCATACAGCTCAAGCCCTGTTAGTTATCCTTATTACATGTGAATATGTGTTTCACTCTAGCCTTTGCCTGGAATGTTCTTCCCATGGTCAGTTTCTTTTCATCCTTCAAAACTAGGTTTAATAGACAGCCCCTTACGAAGGTATACCAGATCACTCCATTAAACACACACCCCCTCCTCCAACCTCATCAATAGTGTACCTTTTTGACACTCATTTGTTGTACTGTCTGCTCTTATCCTAGGATGTGAGCTCGGGGGGGTAGAGGAGGTAACTTGTCTGCTTTGTTCATTGCTGTGCCCTGTGCTCCCAGTAAGGTGCCAGCACATAGTAAGTGCTCAATAAACATTTGTGGAATGAACAAATAAGTCTCACCACAACTTTGCTTTGTTCATTGCACAAATATGTACTGAGCACACAGTGGTGAATAAGAGGCTCTGGTAGGTCTTGCACTTTAGTAAAATTTAAGAAATCTCTGGGCAGGGCTGCCAAGTATGGTTGGGCAGTCTGTGCACTACACAAAGGCACTGGACAAGGGGATGACTGGAGGTTGTAACCCAGTCTGGGCTCTGCTTGCCAAGCTGTGAGTCATGGTGTGGAGCCATTTTAGCCCAGAGGTGCACCTTTGTTATTAACACAAAGTTGTCTTATGAAGTGGGCAATTACTGTCCCCATTTCATAGAAGAAGTACTTGCCTAAGGTCAAACCCCTATATAGGAGGCAGTCAAGATGCAAACTTGCCTTCTGATTTCTTTGGAGGGTCTCTCTGTGGGCATGGGCACAGGCACAGGCACAGGGTGCTGGAGTTGCTCCCTGAGCCCCACCTGTCCGACTGGAGCAGTGATGTCACAGGAGTCCAGGAACATGATGTCTGGAGTCATGCTTTATGTTGATGGCATGATTTCATATTGAGTGGATTTCAAGTGCATACATCTTTTAAACCCTCATTTCCCCCTCAGGCCTCTTCCTATGTCTCCCTTCTCATGCTCACCTTGGGCCTCTCAAATGTCTTCTGTGCATCCCTGTTCTTAGAATCACAGGAAGACATGCAGTGCTGCAACTGTCCTTTCTCTTGAGTCCCCCACACCTCAGTCTGCTCACTTGTAGGGTGGAAATAATCACCTGTACCTCGTTTAACATGGGGTGCATGAGGTGCTTTGAAAAGCAGCAGATACTCTGCAAATTAGAGAGAATGATGCTATTTTTTTCATGAAACTGCAAGTGGATCCAATTTCACTCATTCGTTTGACCCCCCCTCCCTTATCTTTACTGGCATCTACTGTGCGCCAGCTCAGAAGGGAGGATGGGGAGGGTACCACACCTCTGATTCTCCGGGATTTGAGCCCAGCTTCCAGCTTGGCCACCAGGCCTGTGCCACCACGCCCCAAAGGCTGGCCCTGGTATGTCAGGCTTGTGGAAGCAGGCAGGGAACTGGTCCAGGCCTCCCACACCAGCCTAATTTGGGCAGACTCCAAACCTGGCTGGATCTCCAACTTGGGAGGCCCTGACTCTTTTGCCCTTTGTCAAACATGAGGTTTTCTGCTTATGAATTCCTTTCCCAAATCTCAAAGAGAAAAAAAAAGCAGGTCCCCAGGGGTTGAAGTTGCATACATTTTTTTAATTGAAGGAAGTCAGCCTCCTAATTATTGCTTTCACAGGTTTATCAAAGTCCAGTATTCGTACGACTCACATTTTCTAAAAATATTTCAGGCCAGAGGAGCAACATGGTTCTCCCTGGGCATGATGGGTCACTTTGGGCAACTTGATGAACAAGCGACTTGAAATGAGTAAGTGAAACCCTGCCCTCTGCTCTGGACACACTCCCGGCCTCTGCTCTTCCGGAGTTACTCCCTGCAACAGTCGCCGTCCCTAAGATCAGCCTGCATCAAACCCGGTCGGGCTCAGGGCTTCACAGGCATCAGCCGGAGTTGCCTGTCACTTTCGTGTGTCCATGGTTTGAAGTGTCCTGAAAGTTAAGTTGGGGGAGCAGGTGCAGTCGGGGATACAGAGCAGGGAGGCATACTCTGGCTGGGTTCCTGTAAACATCCATCGCAGGTGCGGAAGGTGGGAAGCCAAGGCAAGGCCATCTGTGCAGTGCTGCAGGCGGGCGAGGCCTTCGGACATGCCTGCCTTCTTCTGGGAAGGGGGGGAGAGGCCTTCCCGACCTCGGCACTCAGTCTCAACCACTCCATCCCGCCGTCCTGGGTCTGGACGGGAACCTCTCCGTTGGCACAGAACTTTGGAAGGGAGCAGGCCTAACAAGAGAGAAAAGGGGGCATTACCAACACAGAAGCACCGACTGCCACTCATTCAGTGGGGGTCTGGACCCACCCACCAGGCCTCAGGCAGCTTGTGGCGGAGCAAAGAAGTCTTCCTTCTATCTCTCGCATTCAAAGAACCACCAGAAGCCCCAGACTCAGGCTAGGAGTGTTTTCTGATAACTTTTATTTAAAACTCCCTTTAATAAATTTGCCTGATTCCTCAGGACCCTGGGCTGAAGAACCAGTGCAATTTTATGTGGGAGAGGAAGACTGTCCATTATTGGAGAGGAGGAAAGGGGGATCCTGGTACCTGAGGGAGAAGGGCAGCACATGCAGGGGTCACTCAAGGCTCTGCCAGCTGACTTGAGCTTCAGGGCAGCTGAGCAAGCTCTGGGTAGTGGGCAGGGCTTGGCAACACCTCCCACACGTTGCCCAGAAAATGCTTCGCAACCTGCAGGAAGGCTGCGGCCACAGCTAAGGTACTTAGCAGCCCTACTTAGCTCTTTCTCCCAGTTCACGGCATCAACCCCACTGCCAGGCCCTTCAAAGGTCCCCACTCCCCATGCCCTTCTCTGTCCAGTTGGTGCCAGTGTGCCTGCAGCGTCTCATACTCCTATGCCCACCCCGTACCCCAGTTTTGAGGATCATCTTTGCCAGCTCAGATGATTCCTTCTGCATCACATAAAACTTCTGTTAAACACCCAACGTGTCTTGTTCATCAGGGCCCTAATGACATTTGGGGCAAGTGATTCTCCAGTGTTGGAGGGCTGTTCTGAGCATTTCAGGATGTTAGCAGCATCCCTGGCCACTGACCACTAACTGCCAGCAGCATTCCCATGTACGGTGACAACTAAAAATGCCCCCTCACGCCATTTCCAATGACCACCTAAGGGAGCAGAACTACTTCCACTGAGAACATGCATCTCCTACAGGTGGAAGCTGCCAGCAATTTCCAGGATTACCTCCCAAATAAACGATTTGCACTTGAATCTTCACCTGAGGATCTGCTCCCAGGAGAGCACACCTGAAATAGGGCCTTACACAGGTGATTTCATTCCACCCTCCTAACAACCCCAGGAGTTACACACTATTATGATTCCATTTTACTAAGAGAGAGTCTAAGGATGCCCACCTCTCCAGGACTTTGTCCCACTGGAGATCTAAAAGACTACAAAATCTTGTACCACCTGTGTGCCAGGTCCTGAGCTGGGTGCTGGGGACCCATGCCTTTGACATATAATACAGTGAGCAATTTCAGCCCAAGGTAATAAGCCCGACAACAGGAGGATGCGCAGGGGATGAGTGGAGCTGAGTCTGGGAAAGGCTGTGCACAAAAGGATACCAGGTAGAGAGGGCAGGTGACCAGGGCACAGCAGGTCCTGGGACCTCCTGGCAGGCCAGTGGGGAGACAAGGCAGGAGCCAAATCATTCAAGTTTTTTGTGTCCTCTGCCAAATTCACCTGCTAGAGGCCCGCTGGGAACACATCCTTCCACTGCTCAGAGACCTTCCCAGGCTTCCACAACACCGGTAAGTCCTCAGGCCCCAGCCCACCGCCCCACTAGACCTGGCAGGTGGAAGGGGGAACCGGGGCCACAGCCAGAGCATCGGAGAGCTCGACCCTGTAGAGAGGTGCTCACAGGTCCCCCCTCCCCAGCCTGCCAGAAGTCCACCTTCTGCTGACCTTCCTCCTTCAAGTAACCTCTGGGGTTCCTGTGGGGGTCCATGGGGTGCTCCTGAGAACCCTGGTGTCCATGAACCTGGAGGATTCTTTCTTCAGATTCACATTTACTGGGCTTGCCGAAGCCACCTCCAAGGCAGGGGATCATGCTTGAGCTCATTTCCGACTTTTGGGGACAGGTTGTTAGAGAACACAGAACCACCCCACGGAACAGAGCCTCATTCCTTTCCCAACCTTGTGACAACAAACAGCATTAAGTCCCAGAGTGTGTCAGGCTGGCTGGAGCGCCTCTTATGTGCTAGTCTCTGGCTGAACGGGCTCAGGGTACACAGGTGCTGGCTCCAGCAGGAATTCACTAGCCCTTCTGTTTTCATGGTGTTTATTTATAGGGGCATCTTCTTTTTATGGCAAGTGATGCTAATTCCCATTTCTGATAGTAATATAAAGTTCCTCTTTTCCCAGAACATTAATTTCACTTTAAAAATTTAGGAAGCCAGTTTAAAGAAAACAACTACATAAATAGTTCAGGCAATAGGACAAAAATTGTTGACGTCATGTGAGGTTTGGGAGATCTTGATTGAAGTTGGTCCCATTCACTCCACAGAGAATGAAGGGGCCCAGAGAGGGTGGTGACCTGCCCTAAGTCACACAGCAAGTTGAACACAGAGACATGGTCCCAGGTCTCTGAACCCATGGCTGGAGGATGTCCTGGGACCTCTTATTTAGGCCACCCACTGTGACTATTAAAGACCAATCCCCTATTCCTCTGACTTGCAAGTCTGGTCTCACAGCAGACCCCAGAATAACAACAGCTGACCTTGATTAAGTGCTTTATGCTCACCTTGTACTATCTGCTTTAACTCATTTATTCCTCAAAACGACCCTAGGGATGGGGCTAGGACCACCATTCTTGAATTTCAGAGGGGGCTCAGAGAGGTTAAGTAAATTGTGCAAGGCCACACAGCAGAGCCAGGATTTAAACCTCCATGGTCTGACCCCAAAGTCTTAATTCCTCTCAGCATCTTTCTTTGGTCCATCTCTTTCCTATAAGGTATCAAAAGCCCTAGCTGAAAAGCATCCTGGGGCTGCAGCTTAGAGAATCCCAGGCAGTGGCTAACGTCATTAGAACGTGAGTCGATTCATTAGCCATTGGTTGTTTTTCTGTCTTTCTGAAACTGTAACCTCATTCCAGGCAACTCCTCCAAGCTGGACTAGAGGGAGGGAGTGGCTGACTCCTTTGTCATTAGAATGACAATTGGGCACTTAATCCATTTTAATCAGCAATATCCCAGCTTGATACTTCTGCAGAAGATTGGGCTTAAGTGAGAAAATGGCCCATGTATTTTTTTATTTTTTAAAGAATAGTTTATTAATTTTTAGAGAGAGCAGGAGAAGAGAAACATTGATTGAGAATGGAACATTGATCGGCTGCCTCCTGCATGCCCCCTACCGGGGATGGAGCCTGAAACCCAGGATGTGTCCTGACCTGGGGGGGGGGGGC